CCCCAAACATTTTCCAAATGGACCGTTGTTATCTGTAATCACTATGGCTGGGGGTTACCCAGCCTCATGTATAGAAGCTATTTTTGCCAATGCATGAGGTCCTTCCAGACAAGGATAAAGACATTAAGGATTGGCTATTAAGCTTCTGCTTTGGTTGAGATAATAATTTGAGGGCAATTAGGCAAATTGCGTAGACTCCAATGGGTCATTAATCCCCAAAGGAATTGTCTGAGATAGAGAGAGGCCTTTAAGTTTTGAAAAAAAAGGATTGGAGTATGGTAGAAGTTACATTTTGAATTTCTTTCCATTAAGATGAAAGGTAACAATGTCAACAGGTACTGTTTTTGTTAAAAAAATAATTCATTTACTTATAGCCTTTACATTACTTTTTTGTGTGAAAAGATAAACATCACTAACCCTTTAGATTAAGGATAAAGTATCAGTTAAGAATAACAACAACAAAAAAAAAGGGCCTGCAGTATAGCTCCGCAGACTAAGTGCTTGCTTGGGTAAGCACAGGGTGGTCCTGGGCACTGCATGCCACACCAGGCATGCTGAACCAGTGATGGAGTCCAAAACAAACAAACAAACAAACAAACTTTAAAAAATAAAATTAAAAGTAAAAAAAGAATAACAAAGAGAAAGTAGAAATATACCAGAAAATCGGAGCTAAAAAGGCTACATCAGCCACTGACACCCAATTTAATCATGAGCTTCCCAACAACTAAGAAAGCATTTAAATATGCATGCTGAAACATCAGGAGAAAATATCTTTGTCTGGGTTCTAAAAGATCATAGGTTTCAGTCTAAAACCTATGATCTTTTATATGCAGTCTATACCTGCTTTTCAGATATAGAGATATGGCTTCCTGTTTCAGCTTGGAGTTACAGAACTTTGGGCAAATCAACAGACAACTCATAGTCCAGACTGTTGTCATCTCTTTTAAGAGGAATAAAAATGGTGATGTCACAGGACTGCAGTGAGGTAAGGTGACGTCCTACCTGGGAAGCAGCAGGCACATACAAAGTCTACACTGAGTCACAGTTCCTTTTTCTCTTCTATATAAGAGATCTTTAGTAAGAACTGCACAAAGCACACAGTACCATTTTGCCCTAGTAAGTGGGGGATAGGATTAGGAACCATGAGGCTTGTTTTCTAACTAAAAAACCAATCTCCGGTTTAGGATTGGAGTAAGGCCACTCCTAGGTTTTGGGTACATTTGGAATGAGATGAAGAATTTTCTAGATTGAAATGCTGCTGTTTCTGTAAGTTTCAGTGGGTGGTAGGGTGCCAGGAGGCTAAGATAGACAGCGTGACACCCTGTAGGCATTCTGAGGTCCCACTGAGACACTCTTGAATGTGGAAAGTGGCTGTTGTCAAGGAAGGGAATTGCAGGCCTGGGAGTCTGCACACTGGGGTCTAATCTATGTTCTCCTGTAAGTTTACAGTGAGCATGGGCAGACCGTTAATGTCATTTGGAGCACAGTTTTTCCACTGGTATATCCAAGAGGTTTAGTTACATGTCCTCTCTCAGGGCCTTTTTAAATCTTGTATTTTATTAGCCAGGAAAAAAAAGGGTGTTTGAGAATAAGCTCATGAATTTACTCTTTCACCAACATTTATTGAACATCTACTATCTGCCAGACACTATGACAGACCCTAGGATAAGGCATTCAATGCCCCTGCTATTCTGAGAAGACAGACACAAAGAAGTACATATTATCCAATTCCAATTATATATAAAACTACTATAAGAAACATAAATCTGAGCTAGGTGTGGTGGTTCAAGCCTGTATTACCAACACTTGGAAGACTGAGGCAGGAGGATCATTTCGAGATCAGGCCAGACTGGACTACAAAGAGAGTTCAAGGCCAGCCTAAACTGCATAGTGAGACCTTGTCTCTGGAAGACAAAAGACAAGCAAACAAAAAAAAACATAAATCTTTAGCAACATAATGTAGTAGGTCAGTGGTTCGCTAAAGTAGAAAGGAGATATAATAACTAAATACAATGTGGAATCCTGGATTGGATTCTGGACCGGCAAAAGGAAATTAATAATAAAACTGATTAATTTCAAATAAAGTCTGTAGTCAGTGATAAAGTTTCAATGTAAGTTGTAACAACTATGCTATGTTCATGTAAGTTGCTCCTATTTTATTTTAGGAAGCTGTTTGAAAGTTTATTGTATGTTGGAAATTTTCTTCTAAGTCTGAAGTGATTTCTAAATGAAAAGCTAAGAAAGAATAAACAAGGAAATGTGACCTTTGGCAAATTTCTTTCCCTCCCTAAATCTTAATTTCTTTGTTTAGTTTTCTATTACTGTGACAAAAATGTGTCATCTGCATCATGGTGGTTGCTCATAGTAAAGGAGTTGTGCATTTTATGGTGAGTAGGAAGCAAAGAAAAAGAGCAGTAGCCAGGGTTCTACAAGCCTCCTTAAGAGGATCTTCAGTGACCTAAATTCCTCCAAGTGGGCTCCGTCTCTTAAAGGTTCCACCATCTCCTGGTAGTGCCAGGGGCTGGGGACCAAATTTTTGACATAAGGCTCTTTGGGGAAATGTAAGATCCGAACCATAGCATTCCTCCTCTGTGGAGCAGCGCGATCATCCCGCCCACTTCATAGAATCATATAGAGGAGAAAACAGAACAGTGCAAAGTAGCAACATGAATGTGTTGATATGTAAAAAGCTATTCTGGCTGTTCATAATGGCAACACAACTGTCTTCAGCTGCTCAGACCAGAAACATTCCACCCAAATGAAAAACATCTGTGTACAAACTACTTTCAGTCATTTGATACGACTTTGGCCAAGGAAATAATAATGCCAGCTTTGTGGCAGAAGGGCTGTTGTCAAGGAGATGGCTCCAGATAGCCCAAACAGCTGGTAGCAGTGACATCACCTCTAGGCTTTGTAGAAAGAAAAGCCAGTGGTATACACAGAGCAATGGCCTCCATCTCTGGCCATGAAATCACTACTGTAGCACAGAAAGCAACTTCTCTTGTAGCCTTTCCTTTGAATTACATCTATTTTCAGGTTCCAGGTTCATTAAAGGGATTTGCACTAAATCAAGGAATATGGTCTTGCTGAATAGGGCAGTGGATTAATCTTAACAGGGACTTCTTTTAGATTCTTTTAAAAATATAATTTCCAAAGTGTCTAATGAGATAATGCACCATATGAGCCTGACAATGTCTGCCCCATTTCATACACAGGAAAAGCAAGGCAAATCAAGGAGGAAGGGATCCCAAGTCACAGGAAAAGGTCGAGTCGGAACCCAGATATCCAGATTTCTGGGCCTGAAATCATCACCTGCACTAAGTTTTACCTCCTAGCCACCTTGGAGCAGTTATCCAAAGCACAGAGCCTGATGAACACCTCTCTAAATGCTGTCTTATCTAGATGTGGACCTCACCTCATTCTCTTAAGGTCTAAGGTAGAGAAAAACAAGCAAATGTGGAAGACAAATTGCCTTAAACAGTAGGGTTATGAGATTTCAGAGAGACCTGGGCTCAAATTTTTGATTTGGCATGTTGCACTGTGGGGCTTCAGGTAAGTTGTCCCAGCCTCAGTCTTGCCAAGGATCAGTAAAAGAGTACAACAACAACATTCTTGAAGGTTGGCAAAGATTAAATGAGGTGGCACATGTGGTAAGCCTGGCTTGAGTGACACATGAGATGTCCTCAAAAAAAAAAAAAAAGAGATCTTTGTTTTCTCAAGTGATTGCATTTGCTGAATGGAAAGTTATTTCCTTCCATTGGAAAGTGATGATTTATAACCCTGACTCCCTCACCAGAATAGAGCTGATGCAAATAGTAGCTTTGAGGACTGTTTTAGCAGCTCAGACCGTAGTGATCCTCCTGTTTTTAGCCTCCCCGGTGCTGGGATCACAGGCGTGTGCCACCATGCCAGGTCTCGGTAGCCAGCTCAGTGTGCCTGAGGATCAAACCCCAGCCCCTGCGCTTGCCTAAGTAGGCACTTAGTCCGCTGAGGTATCTCGTTGGCCCTGTAATAGTAGCTTTCAAACGAGCACAAAGAAATCACTTGAGGTCCCTAGAGCACCATCCATCTTTCATTTAACTGATTTAGAAACACTGTAGAAGTGGTCTGTCCAGGATCACAGAGGGACTGGCACTGCCAGTTTCTCTGTTATTAATCAATTATTTAGTTGAAGGATGAGGAAACTGGGGTGGGGGTTGTTTATGACTACAAGGATGTCACCATTTCCTGCTCAATCATATTTCCAAGTTATTTTCACCCAGGACTCTTCCAACAGCCTGCAGAGAAAGAAGTAACACTGAGAGGGAAGGGAAGGTTAATTACAAAAGGAAGCTGTGCCCAGGTTTTCTAGGTCTTTTATGATTGCTGTTTGCTTTAAGACAAGCAGGTTATACAGAGCTTTGATGTAACTGTCTGGAGCCCATATCCAGGTCCAGTTGTCAGTCTTACTTTGGGCCTCAGTTTACTGATTACAAGTAAGTTTGGGTCCTAAGGGCAATAAAGGGCCACTAAGTAAGAGCCAGCAAGTGGAGTGTGGTCCACTTCTCTCATGGATGAGTTGCGCCAAATGAAATATGTAAATTATTGCTTTTGTTAGGATCCCGCAGGTCGGATTCTTCTAAAAGGAAGCCGCACCTGACTACCTTTCAAGGCCAGGCTGAAGCCATTTGGGTATACAGATCCTAAAATTTGAAAGGTCATTATTCTAGAAAAGCAAACAAACAGTATTTCCATCTCCCGCTCAAATTAACGGACCAAGGCCGGGATTTTACCCTTAACAAAGATGGCGGCTTCCCTAGTCCCCGCCTTAGTGCCCTTATGAAAAATGGCAGCCAATGTCTTTTTCCTTAATTTGGCTGAGCCAAACACTAGCGCTTTGCCCTTAGTTAAGATGGCGCCCACCAAAGGTTCGCTGCCCGGCCTCTGGCCCGGGCAGGTTGGCTTCACCGCACAAACCTTCATGACCCCGCCTCGTTTCCGTAGGAAGAAGCGCCGGGAAAGATGGCGGCAGCTGCGGTTTGAATTCCAGCGGCGCCGCTAGTCTGCACACGGGCTGTGTTGGAGGGGGCGGGGACCTGGAAAGCCGGGCGGGTCTCAACAGCCGGGGGGCGAAGCAGTGGCGCGGCTGCCACAGACACTAATGCCATCATTGTCTTTGTGTCCATGATGGACTCCGTGTTGGAAGAAGACGTCACTCTCCCCGGGACGTTCAGTGGCTGCAGGTGCGGCCCGCGAATATTGGGGACTCGCGGTAACTGGGTCGGAGTTCCCATTGATGGGGCTAGGCTCTAACCCCGCTGTGGGGTTTGCTCTTGAGAGTGTGTGACCAGGGGCAGCGCGCGGGGTTGGGTTCCTTCGGGCAGGATCCCTCGGGTCCCACCTGCTCAGAGTGTGGGTGCTGGGGCTCTCTTTCGGGTCCTGCCTGCTGATGCTGAGTTTGGGGCCTAGGAGTCTGTGATCTGCAATACCCACGACCCTTTTGGGAACATAGTTTGAAAGGGTATGAAGGACAGCGTGACAGGGTGGGGGAGATCTGTTCGGGCCCGGAGTATGGCATTAGTGGGGGCTGTTTGGGGGACTGGACTTGCAACACTTTGTTTTATTTATTTTTGCAACACTTGATAGTTAATTCTGGTTTGGGGGTTTGCATTCATTATGGGGATGTACTCTTTATGTTTAGACTTCGATTATGGCTTCACACAGTGGCCACCTAGGACAGAGGCAGTGGAGTGCAGTGGTCAGAGCTGTGCCTGGAGGTAGAATAGCAGTCAAATCCAGCCCTGCTAGCTGTGTGACCTGGGCAAAAGGGAACTGACCAGCTTTTTCACTGTAAACTGGGTTAAGGTAATATCAACTTAGAATGAGAGTGAAGATCAAAAGAAACAACGCCTGCATCAGTGCTGAAGTGAACTTGGATTGTTATTACTGTTACTATTACTAATTTAGGTTGAGTAACATTTATCTGAAATGGTTAGGACCAGAAATGTTTCAGATTTGGAATTTCTTTTGAATATTTTCATATACATAAGGTATACTGGAAATGGGACCCAAGTCTGAACATGAAGTTTATTTGTTTCGTGTATACCTTATGTACTACTTCATATACACCTTATAATATTTTATACTTTATTTTTAATTTGCCTGTACTTTGTGACTTGTCACATGAGATTAGCTGTAGCTGTCATGGTGGCACTCAAGAAGTTTAGGATTTTAGAGCATTTGTTTGGATTTTTAAATTTAGAGATGGTCAGATGGCATTATCAGTAGTGGTAGCAATCAGGGAACGATGCCTGAGGAAGCATTCCAACCCTTATGAGCCTGGCATAGGGGTTGCAATATTTTTTTTGCTGGTGGGGCTAAGACCGTTTTGGAGGCCTGATGGGGTGCTATATGCCCCAGGTTCCTTTGATGGCCCTGGGCTTCTCTTTGGAGAGTAGGTAGAAGGAAGAGGAAGAGAAGGCCTGAGAGCCCGCAGTATCTAGTCATTTCTCTAGGGAAGGACAGCTACTTTCTTCAGATCCTACTTGAGAGCGGTTTTGTTATTTGTTGTGTACACCCATGCTGTTAAGAGTCAGGTGGGCACAGTAAGCTTTTATGCCTCTTGTCTTGGCTACTTTCTCATCTCTGAGACACAATTTCTGACACCCAGAGCTTTAAGGAATGAAGGTTTATTTTGGCTCACAGTTTGCAGAGGCTTCAGGCCAGAGTCTTGGCTGACCTCAGGTAGAGGAGTATGGGAGAGGTGAAAAACACATGGCAGGGCTGTGTGAATCAAGAGAGCAAGGGAGGAGGCTAGACTCCTCTGGACCACCCCCCTCCCCAGCTCTTTTCTGACCAGGCTTCATCTCCTAATGTCACCTTTAGCTATAAACTCACCAGTGGACTAATCTGTTGATGAGTGTCACAACCCCATAATCCAGTCACCTCCACAAAACCCACCTATGAGCAACTGAGGCTTTAGGGGAACATTTTATATAAACCATAACACCCAGACAGCATGATAGGCATAAAAAGGGCCTATGTTAGGCAAATCTGGGAAAAGTTTACTCTGTTTATTGAGATCTTCCTATTAGGTATAAGACAAAGAGCATGGCCCTTTGTATTTAGCTCTGGCTACTGCAAATGTTCATCTTGTCCCTTTCTCTGCATGTGACCACTGCTGTTGCTGTCGCTCACCTGGATTGCCCTATCTTCTTTCACATGTCTAATAGCCCGTACTACTACAGCTTGAAAGCTTTGAATTTGTACATCTTAGCTTCATAGGGTGCTGCTGTTGACCTGGGATCTTTGCAATGAGCTACATCTCGGGCTTCCTTTTGTTTTTTGAGACAGGGTCTCAAAGTTGCTGCACCACCCACGCTGGAGTCAGATCTGTGTGTCTTGCCACAGCCTCTCAGAGTGCTGCGATTATAGGCATGTACACCACACCTGGCTGAGCCTCAGCCTTTATTATCTATAAAGTGGGCCAAAGCCTTGGGTTGGTGTAAGGATTAAAATGATGCTCCAAGGGTTTAGCCTAATAGTACCCAGAGTAGCTCCTCAGCATATCTGCAAACATTCTCCACTCCTTCTTCTGCCTGCCTTTACAGAACCCAAGTGCTGGATACCTTCCTTGATGTTTTACCTACTCTTGAGTCTGGGAGGCTCCTTGCTACCCTCCGAGTTGGAAATCTTTCCAGGGTCCATCATAATCTGGACCCATCCACTTCTGGAGCCTCCCCTCTTTAATTTCCCATCCCTGTCCTTCTCCAAGCTCTTCCCCCTATGCCTGGCTGCCAAATTGTGTCACGAATAGTCTCACTGTGTTTCTTACCAACAGGCCTGTGGACTTGCTGTTTTGCTGCCTGAGCTGCCCCCCAACTGCCCTCTCTTTGCCTTATCAAGGCCTATTATTTTTCAGAGCTCAGTATAAAGTGTCACTGCTGGGAAATCTTCACTGCCATTCCCAAGCCTCAGCTAGGCCCTCTGTACCCTTCCTGATCACTTTATCTGTCCCTGATCCTAGCTGACCTCACAAAATTTTATTAACTAGCACTGTTCAGTGGACATCATTTGAAATTTTCTAGCAGCCACCTTTAGAAGAGTAAAAGAGAAAAATGATTTCTTTCTTTTTTGTGGTGCTAGGGAGTCAAACCCAGGGCAGTGATGTGCTTGCCCAGTGCTTCCCACTGTTACCCTGCCAAGCAGTGAGTTCCGTAATACTTCACATTTTATTTTGCCTAATATTTCCATATATTATTTTAATTTGTAATGAGAAAAAAATGACAGATGAGGCAGTTTGCATCTTTTCATCTTACTAAATCTTTGAACTTTGGCACAAATTTTATACTTATAGCAAGTGCTTTGTGGGTTCCTATGGCTAGTGGTCTCAGTATTGGACACTGAAGGTGTTGGTCGTTAACGAACATGTCACCCAGGTTTGAGATCAGGAACTACATTTCTTCTGTCTTTGTAAGTACAGCTCTTAACCAATATCTGGGTCTCAGTCACTGCTGATTGCTGAATAAGCAGGGACCTTTGAGGTGGCCGTATTGTCCCTTTGAAGTGAGGCCACTGAGACTCTGAGGCTGAAATCCATGGTCTGGGGTCGCCCAAAGAGTGCATGGAGTTGAGATGTAAGGTCTGTGCTTCCTGGCTTCAAAGCCTTCTGGCCAGTTCTCTGAACCAATTTGGATTGAGGGGGTCTGGAATGATCTTGCAGAGCTCTTGGGCTGGAGTGGTTCTTAGAAGAGTGTCCAATAGCCTGAGAGGCAGGGTTTCTGCTAGGTGTTAATAGTGAAGAGAGGAATCCCTTGCCAAATCTCACTTTTTTAGTGTACTACTGTGTACTACTTTCAGAGTCCTCTTCTGCTTGGTAGTTTCAAAGCCCTGGTCTTCAAGACTCAGCCACCTGTAATCCAGTGTGTTCTTGAACTTCTGTTGAATTAGGTTTGTCTGTGTTGGTCCCTCCCAACCTTATTGCCTGTGAGTGCTGAGGACAGCTGTGGCTCTGGACATGTAGGTCCAGATTCTGGCCCTAGGAACCTCGCCCAAGCAAAGGCCTTTTGTTAAGTTCTGCCTGGTGGTACGGAAAGAACCTGGGCTTGGTGGTCTAGGTCACTGGGTATAAATCCTGGTCCAGCTGGCTCCTGGGTTTGTTGCTTTGAGGGAGTCACTTAGCCCTTTTTAGTTTCTTTTTAATGGTAACATGCATTGCATTGAGTGTGCAGATGGAGTGAGACTATGTGAAGTGCCTGGTGCTGCTGGAGGAGTGGGCAATGTTGGCCAGTTTTATTATATTGATGCCCAGTGCACTGTTCCTACACAGGATCCTCTGTACCACAGCACCGGGCACTTCCCTCAGTGGGTGCCAGGAGTCTGCTTTGCCCTCTGTGGGTATCCTAAGGCCTGAGCCCAGGCCTATTTACCCATGAGCTCCTCCAGCATGTGGCCATGAAGCACTTGTTTTCTGCTCTGGCACAGCTCGTACTTTTGTGGGCAAGGTGCCTTCCTGGGCTCGCAGGTCAGGAAATAGGACAGTAGACTGGAATTTCTGGGGAAGGCTTGATGGTAGTAGGATTGCTCCGTGGGATTGAGGGTGCCCCCCCAGACATGAGGTCTGAACGGAGCACTGGTTTGTTCCCCACTGTGTTGCAGCACCTAGAATTGTATCTGACACAGAATAGAGCCTCAACATGTATTTGTTGAATCAATTCGTTTTGTTTGGTGACTTTAAAAAAAAAAAGAAAAGCGTGTATCATAGGCCCCATTTAGTAGTAAAATCCTGCTTTGTTATCAGTAAAAGTTGTCCTCACGGACTATCCACTGGCATAGTCTTTCTGGAGCACAATTTGGCATTATTATTAACATTACAGATTATGCCTATGTGTGTTTCTAAAATAGTTTTAGGGCCAGGAGTGGTAGTGCATACCTGTAATCCCAGTGCTCTGTGAGACTGAGGCAGGAAGATCAAGGCCAGCCTGGATAATTTAGCAAGACCCTGACTCAAAACATAAAAAGGCGCTGTGGATATAGACAAACAAGGCCCTGGGCTCTAGTAATTGGGAAAGAAAAGAAGATATTTATATACTGTAAAGTTTACCCTTTTAAAATATATCATTTAGTGCTTTTTTTTTTTTTTCCTTTTGGAACTAAGGATTGAAACATGTTAGCCCTGTGCTTGACCACTGAGCTATATCCCAGTCCTTTTAATTTTATTTTTAATTTGTTAATTAACTGGTTAAGTGGTACTAGGGGTTGAATCCAGGGCTTCATACTGCTCTGTACCCCAGCTCTTCTTATTCTTTATTTTGAGACAGAGGCTTCCCAGGTGCTCCGGCTGGCTTCAGGCTTGTGATTCTCCTGCCTCAGCCTCCTGAGTAGCCAGGCTTCCCGTGATGTGCAACCACGCCCAGATCAGTGTTCACAGAATTGTGCAGCCATCAGCAGAGTGCACTCCTAGAACATTTTCGTGCTTTTGAAAGCAGCTCTGTGTCATCAGCTTTCCTCCCCGCTGTTGTGCGCCTCCTGTCGCCCCTCAGCCCTGCAGATCCTTGGTCAGCCTTTTACCTCTGAGCGTCCCTAGAGATGGCGTCTCACAGCATGTGACCTTTAGTGAGGCTCGTCCATGTGGTAGCATGTAACCTTGGCCAAAAGCTAGTCTTGGTGCTCATTGTCTTAGTAACTTTTCTCTTGTTGCTTAGTCAAAGTACCCAACACCCAGGTTAAAGGAGGAAAGTGTTATTTAGCTCACTGTTTGTTGAGGTTTCAGTGCATAGTTGGCTGGCTCCAAGGCAGGGTGCGATGGTGGAGGGCAGCAGAGCATCGAAGCAGCAAAGCAGCAGCAAGCGGTAAGCATGGAGCAATGACCTTCTTTCTGTCCCTTACCTTGTTCCAGGCTCTCTAGCTTTAGGGTGGGTAGCACTCACACCCAGGGTGGGACAGCTCTAATCCTAGCATTGCACACGTGTCAGTCCCAGCATCACATCGTTGGTGCCAGCGTCACACATGCTAGATCCAGGCACCTCTGAAAAGCCCTCTCCCATGATTGCATGAGGCTTTGGGGGGACATCGAGGTAGAAGCCATAACATCACCTACCTAATGTTGTGTATTTATTCATATGGATGGGAACTTGGATGTTGCTGTTTTTATCTATTATGCGTAATGTTGCTATGAACATTTACTTCTATATAAATTTTCATTTAGATATATGTTTTCACTTGTCTTGGGCATATAACTAGGCATGGAATTGTTGGGTCATATGGTTGGCTCTTTAATATTTTAAGGAACTTCCACAGTCTATTCCAAAGTGGCTGTACCATTTGTTTCTCTTACCAGCAGTGTTTGAAGCTTCTAGTTTTCTTCACTTTCATACCAACACTTGTAATAACTGTCTTTTTGACTATAGCTGTCTGTGTAGGTGTCACGTGGTATCTCACTGTGGAATTGACTTACTTTTCTGTGATGACTAATGATGTTAAATATCGTTTCACATGCTTATTAGCCACTTTCTTTGGTAAAATGTTTATTCAAACCTTTGCCTGGTTTAAAAAAAAAATGTGTGTTTTGACCCAGCAATTGCACTTTGTGTTATCTATCCTCAAATCTATCCTAGAGAACCCTCATACATGTGCACAGCGGGGCCTGTATGAAGCTATTCATATAGCATTGTTTGTAAAAGAAAAACTTGGAGACAAACAATACTGTCAGTAGAGGGCTGGGTAAATGTACATCCTTTCATGCCTTCAGACTGTCTCCTACAGGTAGCTCGTGACATTCAACTTCGTAGGTTGCAACTAATTTTTAAGAAGTGGAACAGAATATAAAATATTTCAGGAATTAAGTAATTCTTTTGTGTATCATTGTCAATAAGATTTGAAAAAAATCACTGCTAGGACATACTTGGTAGGAGTTAAAAACATTGAAGCAGATGGATTTGTACTGTCATCACAATTGTAGGATACGTCTGCCTGGAAGGGGGCATCTTTGTCACGTTCATTGTTTCAGAGCTTTAGATTCAGCTGTATTTTTTGTATTTATGTTTTTTCTAATTAAAAGTGAATATTGAAGCTAGGAATTAACAATAACGAAATGAATTATGTCGAATGAAAGAGGGCTTGTTAAAAGACAAACAAAGTGCGCTTGTTGTTGTTGTTTACTGCACGTGATGTCCAGTTCCATCCGCAGCTCTCGTGACATGCTCAGTGAAACGTGGGGCCCTTGTTGGTTTTGTGGTGTGAAGGGACAGTTGTGGCTGGCAGATGCAAGTGTGGAAGCAGAGTGCTTCTTCAGGGCAGCATAGTCCACCCAGGAGCCCTGTGGTGGTGCCCCGCTGTGACCATTCCCTCGGCAAGTAGTTGGCGCCCAGCAGTGGCCATGGAAGTGCTCTGCCTGAGTCTGTTCAGTCCCCACCGCCGCTCCCACCCGCTGCGGCAAAGTTAGGGGCTCTGTCTGCTGTCCAGAGTGAGTGATCAGAATGGGAAGAGAACTAAAGCCGTCAGTGTGGGTTCGAGGTGTGCGCAGAACTGACGGAAGTATGCACATGACAAGATACAGTGGGTCAGTAAAGCCCAAGGGGGAGTTCGGTGACTTTCAGCTATTTTCTATTTCCAGCTAAGATCCAAATCTTTGGCTTTGGGGCTGGAGAGATGGCTCAGTGGTCTAAAGCACCTACTTGAAACAAGTTTGGCAAAGCACAGGGACCGCGGTTCAATCCTCCAGCACCACATGCCAGCCAGCC